GGGCGGGGACAGCAGGCGGAGGAGGGCGGGGGTGATGCTGCGGGGGTGTGGGGAGTCACTGCTGGGTCGAAACAAAAGCCTAGTTCTGCTAGAAGCTTCTGGGAGCCACGGCCTGGTCACACTCCTCAGCCCGCAGGCCAGTCACCAGAAACCTGCGACTCTCTGGGGACTCTCTCTGTGTCATCCACATCTGGTGTCGGGTTCCACAAACTCTGAGCCGCTCTGTGCACGACCCTGTACTGGTCGGTAGTCGGAACACAGTGGTGACTGGGACAGCCCCAGCCCTGCCCTCCTGGGGCTCACAGTCCAGTGAGGGGACAGGCAGTGAAGACCCACAGTGGGGGAGCCCAGGGGACTGGGAGAGTCCAGAGGGCACTTCGTGACCTAACCTGAGAATCCGAGAGGGCTTCCTAGAGGAGGTGGAGCTGTTGGGCAGGCAATGAACTGGAGCAGTGAGGCAGAGAGAAGCAAGAATAGGCTGGGTGGATGCGAGTGAGACCATGAAGCTAGTCAAGCGTGCTGTGGCCAGGCCACGCAGGGCCTGTGGGCAGCCGTGAGAAGCTTGGGCTCTCTCCTGAGCGTACTGGGGAGCCATGGCATGTTCAGAGCAGAGGAGGGGCAGAGGCAGGTTTGTGCTTTAGACTGACCCTTTGGCCACCATGTGGAGAGAGGATGGGAGGGGGCAAGACTAGGGCCAGAGCCCAGGAAGTGGCGGTGAGGGGTAGCCAGGACCTGGACTAGGGCAGGGGCCCCAGGAAGGGAGAGAAATGTACCTGCAGATATTTAAGAGGCAGGAGCTGTATAGGATGTGGTGTGCTGGGGAAGGAGGGGGCCGTCAGGTAGGAGGCCCAGGTTGCTCTGTCCCGGTGACAGGGTGGCACCTTCCCCGATTCAAGGACCAGGAGGAGGGGAGGGTCTAGGGGAGGTCAGTTTGGGACAAGGTGAGAGGTCCCCAGGGACAGCCAGGAGACGCATCCTGGACAACACTGGGACACGGTCCCAGGGCTCAGGGGAGAGGGCTGGGCCAGTACGGGCAAGGGTGACGTGAGGTCGAGGGTAGGGGGAGAGCCAGAGGCGCCAGGTCACTTGGCCTCACCTGCCCCCTCCCACCTCATTTTTCCTCCTCTCCCCCCTCACCTCCTCAGAGCCCTGCCATTTGAGGGCAACCCAGGACACAGAGTCGGAGTAAACCAGGACAGGTGAGCCACAGGTATGGCCCCCTGCCCGGAAGCACCAGGACCAGAAGCCATCAAGATACCAGTAATAATAACACACCTATCACATGCACTCTACCAGCTCCATCTCCCCATGGTCTGTGCCCAAGGTTACCTTCTCAACACCCTCCTCCAATTTAAAATCCCAATCCCCCCTTTATGGCTTTTTTTTTTTTTTTCCCAATAGCTCTGATCTCTATCTGACATGGAAAAAATTTTGTTTTTGTTTACCCCACTAACATCAGCCCCACGGGCAGGAATTTTGTCTATCTTGTACACAGCTGTATCCCTAGCACCATCCCCTACCTCCATGATCCTGGGCAAGTACTCAGTAAATCCCCATTCATTCATCTGACAAATACTCATTGAGCACCTACTGTGTGCCATGCCAGGCACGGGGGTAAGCACTTCACATATATTTACTCATCCAATTCTTATAATGACTCCGTCTCACATACTTTGGACATGTTATCGGGAGGGACCAGTCCCTGGAGAAGGACATCATGCTTGGTAAAGCAGAGGGTCCGCGAAAAAGAGGAAGACCCTCAGTGAGATGGACTGACACAGTGACTGCAACAATGGGCTCAAGCATAACAACAATTGTGAGGATGGCCTAGGACCGGGAAGTGTTCTGTTGTACATCGGGTCGCTATGAGTTGGAACCGACTCGACAGCACCTAACAGCAACACAATTCTTATAACAGCTCTATGACGTGGCTACTGTTATCTTCCCCATTTTACAGATGAGGAAACTGAGGCCCGGCAGGTTCCATGACTTGCCCAGGATCATGGAGGTAGGGAATGGTGGAGCTATGTCCAGAGCCTACACGTTTAATAACAGTAACACCAATCGGACTTCATGTTTGGGGCCCAACATGACATACGGCATCTCCTAACTGCTCTCAATGAGTCTATAAAAACCAAAAGACCCATTACCATCAAGTCGATGCCGACTCATAGTGACCCTACAGGACAGAGTAGAACTGCCCCATAGGGTTTCCAAGGAGCAGCTGGTGGATTCGAACTGCCGACCTTTCGGTTAGCAGCCGAGTTCTTAACCACTGTGCACCAGGGCTCCCAGTGGGTCTATACCATCCCCATTTTTCAGAGTGGTAAATGGAGACTCAGCAAGGAACTGTCCCCATTCCCATTTCCATAGTGGGTAAGTGCATAGCCAAGGTCAAAACTTGGGTCTCTCTGACCTCAAAACCTCCACATACACCCATTTGGCAGATGGGGAAAACGGGGCCTCAAGAGGGGAGGAGACAGAATGTAGATTTCTCAGCACTTTGCGTGGGGCCAATCAAGAAGCAAAGCCCCAAGAAAGAGCGCGGCATCCCGGCCTCCTTTTTCGCAAGGGCTGTCTGGATTCTGAAATGCAGCAGGATTGAAATCCCCATTCCCTGCAGGATTTGGGCAAATCACGGTTCCTGCCTACTGCCTAAGTTTCCCCATCCTCAAAGGGAGGTTCTAACAGGGCCCACCTCCACCTCGTAAGATTGTTTTGACATCCACTGAAATGACACCTGCAGGTCACCTGCAGCACTGGGGCTGGGGACACGGCAGTCACCGTTTATGAGTTTTATTCCTTGGTGATCCCCAGGCTGGCCAGTGATGCCAAGGCCTGGGCCATCCATAAGAGCTGCCCTAAAATCTTCCCCTGCCCCACCTCCTCCTGCCCCACCGACCTGGTTCTTCTCTCAGTACCAAATCCGGGCCCTCGGCACAAAGAGGGTTAGGCAGCTGCCCCAGGAGGCCTGGCCAGGTCGTGCCCCCTGGCCTGTGCCTGCCACACCCGCCCTGGTGCCCAAACGGGGCCCCAGATCCTCAGTGACTCGATCCCTCCAAACTCAGGTGATCTCCCCCGCTCCAAATCACCGAACCCTCCCGGGTCCCACACCAGACGGAGCCAAGCCCCAACCAGGAAGGGCCTCAGAGCACCTGAACGCCAACGCGATTCCAGACCCAGGTTTGGGGCAAAAGATGGTGCCGACCGGGTACAGCTGGCTCCTCCTCAGTGGTGAGCGAGAAGGCACCCCCCAGCACCTTGGCCCCCTCTAGCCTCAGGGTGGGGAGGGACCTGGGAAAGGGAAGGTGTGAGCCCCGAGTCCCAGCTTGCTGGGGAGGGAAGGCAGCTCCGCTTTACGCAGGCACAGGGTGTCCCTCTGAGAGGCACCAGGGTGAGGCAGGCCAGGGAGGGTCACCCAGAGAGATTTGCAGGGTGGGCTTTGGAGATTTCTAAGACTGGAGTGTGAGCCCGAGCCACAGGGCCACCGTTACTCCTGCATTTTTTGGTAAACCCTTACTGAAGACCAGTTCTAGAAACCTTGACCAGGGTGAGTTCTAAGCAGCAGCTCTGGCCCTCCCTGGTGAAGAGGCTTTGGGTAGTTGCTTTCCCCTTCTTGGACTCAGTTTCCTTGTCTATGAAATGGGCCCAACTTACAGGGTCCTTTTGAGGTCACTGTAACCAGCATGTAATAGCGCTGACTGTGTGCCTGGAGCTATTCTAAGCTTTCTGTATGTTAACAACCACCCTATGAGGTAGGCCCCCTTCCATCCCCCTACTTCACAGCTGAGAAAACTGAGGTTTATTCAGAGAGGTGAAGTCACTGGTCGGGGTCACACCACCAGGAAGTGGTAGGGTTGATCACCAGACGCCGAGCGGGCACTCCTGGTCACGCTCCATCAGCCTGGAAAGTACCAGAAACCATGACAGGCATGTAAGCGCTTGCTACATGAGAACCGCCAGGGCCACCCATTCCAGACAACCACACACAGTCCAGACCAAGGAGCCCTGACCAGCTCATCAGGTTCGGGCTTATCTGTGGGGTTGAGAATTGAAAAGGGGTGGAGTACATTAGTCAGCCCTCTACCTTCTGCTCTGGTCAAGCCTGGAGAGGTAGGGGAAGAGCACTGGACCGGGAGTCAGGACTCAGGGACAGGCAGTGACATTTCACGAAGGAGTGTAAAATTAGCTGGACTGAGCGAGCCAGCTCTGATCTCACAGGAGTTGGTTTTGTGACTCTCACAGGGTCCCAGGTAAAAGCAAAAGTCCCATCGACGGAGCGCTTGCTATGTGCCAGGCGTCAGGCTAGATCCTTGGCACAGAACATCACATTCACTCCTCCCTGGGACTGAGACCCTGTGCCTGGCTACCATTTATTGAGCCCTTACTGTATGCCAGGCACCCCTCTAAGCTCGTTATATGCATCAAATCCTCACAACAACCCAGGGGGGTAGGTAGTCTCATCGTCTCTGCTTCACAGCTGAGGAAACAGAGGCACAGGGAGATGAAGCTGTTTACCCAAAGCCACGCAGAAAAACTCCGAAAAAGAATAAGTGGTCAATTCGTGGGCACAGAGTTTCTGTTTGGGGGGATAGAAAGTTTTGGAAACAGTGGTGATGATTGCACGGCATTGTGAAGGCCATTAGTGCCACTGAACTGTGCACTTAAAAATGGTTAAGATGGCAATTCTTACGTCATATATATTTTACCAGGAGCCCTGGTGGCACAATGGTTAAGCACTTGGCTGCTAACCGAAAGGTTGTTTGTTCAAACCCACGAGCAGCTCTGAGGGAGAAAAGACCTGGCGATCTGCTCCCATAAAGATTACAGCCAAGAAAACCCTATGGGGTAGTTCTACTCGGTCCTGTAAGGTCGCTGAGTCGGAATTGACTTGACAGCAGACAACAACAACATATTTTACCACAATCAAAAGGTTAAACAATTTTTTTTAAAAAAGAAGCAGTTAAGATGTTGGGAGTCCGAGGACTCCAGGTTCATATCCTGCCTTTGTCTCGTGCTGGAACACAGTGAGGACCTTGGGCTGGGACGACCTCCCTGGGAGCCCGAGCCTCCTCCCCACCTGACTCTCTCGCTCCTCTTCCCCAGCAGCCTTCCTGAGTGCCGGGGCAGAGATTTCCATCACCCCGGAGCCTGCCCAGCCGGCCGAGGGGGACAACCTCACGCTGGCCGTTCGCGGTCTCCCCGGGGAGCTGCTCGCCTACAACTGGTACGCAGGGCCTACGCTCAGCCTGGCCTACCTGGTGGCCAGCTACATCGTGAGCACGGGCGACGAGACCCCTGGCCCGGCCCACACGGGGCGGGAGGTCGTGCGCCCCGACGGCAGCCTGGACATCCAGGGCGCCCTGATGGGGCACTCGGGCACCTACATCCTGCAGACCCTCAACAGGCAGTTTCAGACCGAGGTGGGCTACGGACACGTACAGGTCTATGGTGAGACACCCTCCACACACTCCCCTCCTCCCCAGTCAGGCCTGTCCCAATCCCTCCTTAAAAAAAAAAAATTCTAAAAAACTTTAAAATCATTTTTAAAAATACCTAAAATAACATTAAAATGCTCACCTCCTCCAGGATGGCTTCTAGGATTAGACCTGCCTCCTATCCCATTCTCTGCTGGGGTACAGGGGCATCACCAGGATCCGACCACGCCCCTTGCCTGGGGAGGGGCAGGCCTCGGAGCAGGTGGTGCCCGGCCCCCTCCCCCTCTGTCTCTCGCCCCCACAGAGATGCTGGCCCAACCGGTGGTCATGGCCAACAGCACGGCGCTGGTGGAACACCGAGACACCCTCCACCTGCTATGCAGCAGCCCCAGCCCCGTGGAGGTCCGCTGGTTCTTCAACGGCGGGGCCCTGCCCATCGCCGTCCGTCTTGGCGTGTCCCCCGACGGCAGGGAGATCACCCGGCGCGGCATCCGCCGAGAGGAAGCCGGGGCCTACCAGTGTGAGGTCCGGAACCCGGTCAGTGTCAGCCGCAGCGAGCCCATCAACCTGACCGTGTACTGTGAGTCCTCCGGGCCCCACCAGAGATACCCGGGGCCCAGACCTCATAGATGGGGAAACCGAGGCTGGGAGAGGGGGAAACTGAGGCCAGGAGAGGGGGCTCAAGGGTACACAGTAAGTCATCGTATACATTGTGACTATAATTAATGCCACTGAATTGTGCACTCCCAAATGGTTAAGATAGCAAATTTCATGTTTAAGAGGAATCCCTCTTAATATGCACTTTAGGTCCTTCTCGTGAGACCTAATGACCATTCATGACCATTATTCCACCACTTTAAAGTAGAATAACCCATCCTTCTGAAGCAATGCCTGCAGGGAGAGGGCACAAGAAGCCTGGGTCTTGAACAGGGGGTGGTGGGGGAGGGAGTGGCAGCAGGAGGAGGTGAGGATAAAACGAAAAATATAACCAAAACGTGGAGTCATTTCCAGGGGCCGCAGATACGCAGTGTGGAATCATGGGAAAATAAATCACTGAGGTACATGAGGGTCAATGATGTAGAAAAACTTAGAATCCTACAACTGTGGTGTTCTGAATTTCAGAAGCACCGAATTCTACGCTTTGGTAATCCTAGAGACCCCAGAATCAGAAGATCCTTAGCATTATCTAATTCTAAAATCTCAACACCACCAAACTCTAGAATCTTAGAAACATAGCTTTCTAGAACCTTCTAGAATCCTAGAACCTAGAAGCATCAACTCATCCAGCCCTAGAATTCTGGACTCTTGGTATGGCTTATCAGGAAAAAAAATCATTTAGCCTTTTTGTTTATTTGCTTGTTTGTTTATGGGGCCATATAGATTTCACAAATGGCTTGAAATTTTGTCTGGCCCTCACCCCCTCTTTTTACAGAAAAGAAAACTGAGGTCCCCTCTCTGCCCCCCTAGAGGGGAAGTGATTCTCAAGATCCTAGAGCAAGTTAGAGATCGATGTGGGATTCGAAAAGGCCAGGGCTCTCTCTCCCTCCACTAGGCCCAGTTATTCTGGTGGAGAGAAAGCCCGGGGTGCCCACCGCTGCTCCCCCTCCCTCTACCTCCCCCTTTGTCTCCCTCCTGCCCCCACAGATGGCCCAGAACGCGTGGCCATCCTCCAAGATTCCACCGCCCGTACGGGCTGCACCATCAAAGTGGACTTCAACACGTCCCTCACCCTGTGGTGCGTGTCCCGGTCCTGCCCGGCGCCCGAGTACCTGTGGACCCTCAACGGGCGGGCCCTAAAGAATGGCCAGGACCACCTCAACATCACTAGCATGACAGCCTCCCAGGAGGGCACGTACACGTGTATTGTGAAGAACCCCAAGACCCTGCTCTCTGGATCTGCCTCAGTGGTGGTCAAGCTTTCTGGTAAGTTGCCCCAAGTCTGACCTTTGCCCCCTCCGCATGGAGCCCCACTGGGACTGTGAAGGTTTGGAGGCTGCTCTTCCCACAGTCAGGTCACCATCAGTTCACAGGTGATTGTCAAGTGGGGGTGGGGGCTCACAGCCCATCCACTGGCCAAGGGAAAAGGTAGCATTTCAGGTGGACCACTTTTTGTCCAGGTGACAAAAGGAGACAGCTCATACTTTATCACTCAGAGACCAAATGGCAAATCCAACTCTCTTCCTTGAGGGGTGACAAAGTGGCAAGTGGGTCACATTTCCACAACGTGTGGCAGAATGGGAAAATACCAGATGCCTCTTCGTGTGGGGGTCCCTGTTCTAAATTCAGTCACCAGCTGCTTACAATCACCCTGCCAGCCAGACAGCTGAATTGTGCAGCCCAGTAGATCACCCGGTTACCTGGTCCAAGCGAGAGCACACACACAGGCACACACGCACATACACTTGGACAATCACAGCCAAGCTCCCTGTTGGTGGATGGAAAATCCCAGTGAGGACTCTCTGTCCTACAGTGACCTGGGGACTGGGAGTTATGGGGACACAGCTAGTTTTTCAGAGCCATCGGGATCCTTGGGACATTTTTCTCATCCCCTGGGGATGGTGGTTTTGAACATTAGTGCCTCATTAATTCCACCTCGGTTCCTTCCCAAGTGGCCACCACCCCCCGGGCACAGTCCTTCCCTCCCGCCCTCCTGCTCACAGGCTGGGTCTCATCCAAAGGGTGGATACTCTTTCACCCAAAGCAGACATGGCGTCCCCAGAGGTAAGTGTACCTCCCGCCCCACACCACCCAGGGCCTTGGCAGCTGGTCTTGGCAGAAGGCAGGGGGTGGACCAGATGACCGCAGGCGCTGCCCCACGCCCTGCCTGTACAGGCCAAGATGGGGGCGGGTGCCGAGGTGTGCAGGTATGTGCAGGGGTAGGTACAATGCCCCAAGGGCCTCCTGTGGTGGGTGTTGGGGAAGGGACAGAGGAAAGGGAGATATCACCCTCCCCATACCTGGAGGAGACCCTGATCTGATGGAGGAGACATGCAGACATGGTCCTGGAACAGGGACGCATGGCCCCTTATTCAAGGAGCTGCTTGTCAAAAAGAAGAGGCAATGCCTCATCCTTCATGGGCTTCCAAGCAGTGATGGAGGAGGCATGACACCTGCCCTCAGTGAGTTTCCCGTCAGATGGAGGAGACACAGTTCTCACTTGGGGAGAGTTTTCATTCTGACAGGGAGACATGGTCTTGAGAATTCCTAGCCTAATGGGGGAGAAATGACCCCTCTGGGGTTCCCATCTTTGCAGTACTCCCAATCTGATGGGGGAGTACAGGCCCCCTACTCTCTAGGAATTCCCAGTCTGATGGGATAGACATGCCCTCCCCACCTTCTGGGGTCCCCCAATCTAATTGGAGAGATCTAGCCCAATAATCTGGACGTTCCCAATCTGATGGAGGAGACTGGGCCCCCACCTTGTGGGGCTTTCTAATCTGATGGAGGAGACATGGACCCCCACACT